ACCAATGCAACACCACTGAACCGCCACCACTGCCACCACCCCTGCACAACCACACCAATAAAAACAGCCTATAAATCACTGCAATAAATCTGCACGACCACCAACAAAATCACCAACAAAAATAGCCTAAAAATTCCTCCTGATACAGCGAATGGAGAACGGCAACGTCGCGTGACGGCCCTGAATCGCAGCTGCTGCTGCGATTCACCGCTGCCCAGCATCAACCACAGCTGCGAATTGAGCAGCGTCGCGCACCGCTGCTGAATCGCAGCTGCTGTTGACGAGAGGGAGGAGATGTAGAGAGAGAAACCAACCCAAAAGCCACGGAAGTTGCAGTGGCGGCGATGAGAGGGAGAAGAGTTGCAGCGGCGCGACGTCGGTAGTGGAGGAATTGAAGCTGTTGGCGCGATATGCGTGCAGAGTCGTGGTTCCGGCGTCCTTAGAAGGTGGTGGCGCAGTGGGGGGAGACGCCCCTTCCACGCCGTCGAGAGAGAGAGATAGGGGTGGGGGGTTGGTGCGGGAGTTCTGAAAGGAAAATGGGAAATTAGGGATTTAAATTTTAGGCGAGGTTGGATGGGGTGGGATGGGGTGTATATAATTTAATTTTTATAATATTATTATTAAAATTTAATTAAATATAAAAAATATCTGATTTTTGAACATTTAAACCTTAAATCTTATTTTTTAACTTGGATCTTGAAAAATAGGGATGCATGTAATTTCCATTTTCTGTATTGCTGGCCCAATTAGACAGAAAACTACAATCAAGCCATTGGTCCATTAAGAAATTTGACCTAACTCAACTCACTGTAAACTTCTATTAGATATGAAAGGCAACCGATCAAAATTTTGGAGATCAAATTTTCTCCACGCTTACACCATTATCTCATAGTTTTTTTTTTTTTTTTTTTTGTTTAATCCCTATTTTTAAAATATTTTTTGTAAGAAGTAATTCTTTTTGGAGAATATCTGATTAAAAAGTAAGAAATTTTGAGTTTACGTCCAAAATTATTTTGCTAGAAGAACGTGTGAATGAAAATGAAGTTTTAAAAAATAAGGCTCAAACGTGGGTGTAGTATATTTTGTAACCAATTTTTTTTGGCCGAATATTTTTTTCACCATTTAAGATGTTGCTAATGACTAAACAAAATAAATATTTCTAAGCAACAATAAAGGGAGACGTTTGAATTTAAAATTCTTGATTTTCATTTTCAAACTTGAATTTGGAAATGGAATTATCAGAACGTGGGAAGTTCAAAATCTTGCTCAATCTCATCCACTACACCACATCCCGATCAAACCCAACAACTGCCGTAATTTTTGCAGCACAAAACCACTTAACAAGCAATTAAGTCAGAAAAAAAAAATCCAAAAAATCCCCACGCCATGAGAAGATGGAGCCAAAAAAAAGTGATAAAATTGCTGCATTATTTGAACAGTTTAAGAATCTTGAAAAAGATTGGGAAACTATTAATAAACAATCAAAATTAAGCCGTAGATGTTCGAAGAGCTCATCAGACTCCATTTTTACTTCTTTTTTGGTAATGAAAAACTCTCCAAGAGGCCTAATGTCTGCTCTACAATACAGAAGGTCTCCTTCAGATGGATTAATTTATAAGGTGAAAAAAAGCGATTATACAGTAGAAGAAATAATTAGAGACAGAAGGGCTGCAATAAAAAGTGGCAAACTTAAAGGAAGGCAGCTTTTGGGAGCTTTTGAAGGGGCAGCTGAGATGGAATTAGAACAGAAAAAAGATGAAGAAATTGCAGGCAGTGAGTGTTTGGTTTCTGTTTGTAAAGAGGATGGAAATTCAGTCCAGAAAAATGCGAAAAATCGTCGACAGAAATTATCTGTCGGTTCTTGTTCGGGATCTGATTCTCTGTCCGAGGTTAATCAAACGTTGGACGAAGCAAAAAAGGAAGAAGAATTGAAGGTTAAAAGAGTTTGTAGAAATTTGAGAGTTAATGGAGGAAGATTCATGCATGCAATGGCTTGGTTTGCTTTTGTGTCAATGCTGTTTACTCTTGTCCTCATTTCAATGACTTGTGGTGGAAAAAATGTGCATGAAGAAGACAAGGTAACATACCTAGTACCAACATAAAAACTCTCTAAAACAATCTTCTTAATATTATGGCATATTCGGTATACAATATTAGATAGTATTCTTCTTTCTTTATTTTTCTTATTTAATACAGTCAAATGTTCCTTAAGGGTTTACCTTGATATATTTCGTACACGTGTTTCTTTATTTCAAGAATAACATGAACTTTTTGTTATATTTGAATTGTTATAAATTTCATTACATTGAGTTCTAAATCCCACATTTCACAAATTTTCGTATGTTTGGATCATGTTTATAATTTTTTTATAAACACTTAGCCCTTGGTTGGTCTCCATTATTTTCAAAATGCATTTTTTTCTTTCTTGTTTTAACCATGCGATCTTCAAATCCAAAACTTTTTCTTATTTTTTAACCACGCATTCTCCATCAAAATATTATTCCTAAATGTATTTTGAACAAACAAATGAGGTTCAAACAGACTCTTAATCAATTTTTATCAATACATTTTGTGGGACTCGTAAATACTACACACTTATCCACCATTCATTTATATTTATTGAGATTAAAGATGGGGATGTTGGGCGGTCATAAATAACATTATTTAAGCAAGCAGCATCAAGACTTTGCGACTAGACATGAACTCGTATAGTAAAAATAGATGAGGGCTGCAACTCTTTAACTAATCCTATCCAGGATGATGATTAATTCAAATAGTTTATAAACACTTTTCAAGCATTTATTTTGATCTTGCTTGAGCATGTTTTGATGAATTTGATTAAAATCTGATATCTAAATTCTATTTCTTGTGCTCTTGCACATGGATTTGGATGGTTAATTCTGAAACCACTAAAAATACAAAGTCTTGAAGAATATAGCAACTTTGAGGGTCTCAATAAAGACTTCACTCCAAGCATACAAGTGCAATAGGTCTAACAACAAAAAATATAACCAGGTCTTTGGTTTCAGACTTCTCTTTTAACCACCCATTCAGTAATTCATGGTCCCATATTTTCAAGCAAGCTTCCATTATCATCCACTTTTTGAGTGTGATTTCCCTCTACATTTCATATAAAGGTCCTTTAGGAAACAAAGATGATTATATAAAAAAGTAATGGGACCTAAGTTTCATAGATCACCACTTGTAATGTGAATCATTCAATTAAAAACTATATTATTTGAGCCAAGTGTTTTGAAGATTTTGTAGTGATTTATCCATTCACTAAAGTTGGAAATGTGCTTGCTTCTTAATATCAATTTATTTTAAACAATCAAATTTAGAGAATACAATGTGTGGCTAATACTCGAGGCGTAAAAGAGGCATTTCCTAAGGATCCCGAAATCACCAACCACCTAGACCTAATTCACAATAAGGCCACCACCTTTCGAGAGAAACTAATGTCAACATGTCAACATTCAAATTTGATTTGGTTCCTAATCTTGGTTGGAGATCATCATGTTCATGTCAACCGTCCAACAAAAAAAAGTGAAGTGGTGGTATCTTAAAAATGTTATGGGCATGATTATGTCAAATTATTTTTGTCGCGTTTCAACAATTTCAACATGAGACGTGACATGTCATAGCATATGTTGCATCTTGAGAAACCAATCAATAAAAACACCAAATCAAGAAACGCATCGGTTGTTTCTTTTTTAAGCACCCTTTGGACAAACTCACATGGTTAGTAAACTAGATATATTATATTTGGTGTTGCGTGTATGTACAGCATTAGTCCTTTTCAGCATGAAAATCGAAATACATTGCATGGTAGCATGGAAACAGACTTTTTCATTATGGGCTAGTCATTTTCCTCAAGGATAAAGCCCCTATGCCCGAAAAAAATGTACCGAGGCTTTGACAGCCACTCACAGCCCCCAACCCCACATGAATAAAAAAATGCAAAAAAAAAAGTGGACCCCACCCCCTATTGTGAGGGTCGGTCACCACCTCTGTCAAAAATTTTCGGGTACTGCAGCACGGTCCTTTCCTCAAATTCATACAAATGCCTTGTAAATATACATCCCCGGTGCATAGAAAATATAGATATTAAAGTGTCAAAATCGATGGACTAGTTCCAACCCACATCCCAGTCTTGATGAAAAAATGTGATCACTTTTTATTAACTTGTTGAGAATGATTCTGATCTAGTTCGTGGCCTGTTAGAAGTAGAAGGCACTCTAGTGAGATCTTTACGGATAGAAACTAAATCTGTTATGACTAAAGATATCCAAGCAATTTGAATGGCGTTCATTCAACCATTTAGTATTACATGTCCCCATGTTGTGAAGCCCATTACCATCACTTTTGAGGGCATTTTTCCTTTACACATTTTATAATTAGTCTCTGTTTGGTGGAGATTAAAATCAGTTCTTTAGTAAATTTTGATAAAAGTTGAAGAAATGTGTGATTGAAAAGTTGTGAGACTCCTGAAATATATGGTTAAAATTAGTTATTGACTTTAATTTAGATTAAAATTCAGATTTTAATCGGTGTCGAACATGGGCAAATTCATTTTTTAGGAAATTGAGTGATGATAAAAAAAAAAAAAAAGTAATGGGACCTATATTTCATAGATACCCACTTATAATGTGAATAACTCAGTGGAGGATCATGTTATTTGTGCCAAGTGTTTGAAGATTTTGGAGTGATTTAACAATTCATTGTAAGGTCACAAATGTTCTTGCTTTTTAATTAGTTTTATGAAATTGTAATTACACTGACGTGACAACTAAGTTATTATTATTCGAGGAGGACTTTTACTTTGAAATTAGTTCAATGAAATTGTAATTAGAAGGAACGCTATAATGTGAGCTTGGAATCCACATGCACTTGATTTCGAAACACCTCTCTCACCTAAAACACCATGATAAACTATATTCAATAATAATTGACTAAAAAATACTCGAACTACTTACCTACTCACGACGAGCTATCATAAAGAAGCATAAATAAGTGTATAAAATATATTGATCAACAAGCTATGGCTAATTATCTAACTAGAAAAGAAGCATTTTCTAAGATCGTAAAACTACGTGTCACCCTGATGTAATTCATAGCGAGTCCATCAATTTCGTGGTAAAATGCCTACATTTAAAAATAACTAAGATGTCAAGATCAAAATTAGAGTTGATTTCAAATCCCGAATCATGCCCTGTTTAGGCTCCATTTCAAACAGAATTTGAAGAAAAATGTATTTTGGAATTGTGATTTTTTTGGAGAATGCGTGGTTAAAAAATAAGGGGCATGTAACATGCATGATTTCGTCAAATATTTTTGTCACTTGTCAACGTTTAATTTATGACATGTTAACACTTTTGAATAAGAGAGATGAAATGGTGGCAAATTGAGAAAACAATTGACAAAAAACACGAAATTATGGAAGTCATTAGACTGTGACTTTTTGAAGCACCCTTCGGACAAATCACATGGTTAGAGAACAAGATACACATTTGGTGTTGGACTTGGACGAATGTGTAGCATTAATCCTTTTCAACGTGAAAACTGAAATACCATTGCATGGAAACAGCATTTGTCACGATGGGTTAGTCATTTTCCTCGAATTCATACATAAACCTTGTAAATATATTTTTCTTATGAAAATTTATCGAAATAATTATTAAAATTGTTTCGCATGGAAATCGCTAACAATTAAAAGATAGAGTAGACGATTGTGTAAGGAACAACAACCTCTCTAAACAAAGTCCCAGCGAGGGATGTTTTATTGATGAAAATTACAATATGAATGAAACAAAATGCCTCCAAGGCACGCAAACACGTGACTTCTAGAAGAAAATAATTGAAAATTAACTAAGAAATGAAATTACATAATTCTCTGTTTGAGAGTAAGTTTGATCTTTTTTCTTTTGTAGATTCTTCTTTCTCTTTTATACTCTCTTGACAGTTTCTCTTGTAAAACCGTTTGAAAACTCTTGGAAACTGCCCATCGTCCTGTAACTATCCACTTTTTCCATCGTGGATGACTTGTCATGAAACTACTGTTTTCAACCGCTACCATTACCCTATCTCTTAACTTCTTGTAATCGAGATTCTTGAATTATGGAATATGATAAGATTACTCATTAACTGCTTTAATAACCGTTGCTTTGAACAATAACCAAAACACTATATTCGCTCAGATTTTGAGCGTCACACGGGTTTGAGCGATGACGGCTCGCTCAGATACTGAGCGTCTCATAGGCTTGGGCGATGATGAGCCTCCATAGGATTGGGCGATGATGGGTCTCCATTACATAACATTGTCTTGGGTTTGGGTCAATCCTTCGAATTTCCTAACTGGACTTCATTTTTTGGATCATTTAATTGAGCCTCATTTTTGTATGTCAATAAAAGTAAATATTTACTTTAAGTGCAAAAAATTTTAAATCTTTTTATTTA